CCCAAAATTTTATTTAAAAATACCATAAATGTGGATTTTTAAGGTCACCGTAAAGCCTCGCCGCGTCTGCGGAGGTGAGAGGGGGAGGCGTCTAGTGAAGGGGTGCAAAGTGACTCTCCTTTTCCTTTTTAACCAAAAATCGGTGGTTTGGACTAAAAAAAGGAATATTTTTTTTTTGTCCAAAAGGAAACCCGCTCCAGGGTCGGCTCCTGCCTTGCAATACTGCGCTTTTCCAAAGCGAAAGCCGCGGGGCTTTGGGGGTGGGAGCGTGTCTCGGGCACGGGGCGGGTCCCGACTCCCCGGGCACCCCCACCCCGATGCTTCCCGTTTTGCACATCGCCCTTTAGGAAAGAAACTCCATGCAAGTAATGCAAAAACTGGAATTTTTTTGCAATATTATGAAAGATAATCTTGGTTTAGCTCATTCTGTGACATGTGCGACTCCTAAGAAAGCCATACTTCATGGTTCTTTTTATTTTTTAGATTCTATATTGTGAATTTCTGCCTTTTTTTTTTTTTTTAGTTCCACATAGTAAGAGTGCTGTGTGTATGCTTTCATATATATTTATTTTTCAACGTCCTCTAAACCTGTCTACAAAAATAAAGCTAAACAAACAAAAAAAAGGACAGTGTTTGAAGATTGTTGATTTTTTTTTTTTTTTTTTTTTTGCTGGGAATATTCTATATTATACTGACTTTATATTAATTATTATAAACCTGTGTTTGTATTGAAGATGTGTTTAATATTTTGGGGAGGTTGAGGAGATTTTAGTAACCAGAAGTCAGTGGGAGAACATGGCTGTGTTGTACTGATTTTCTGTAAATGTAGTTCAGGTAAATATGACTTTATTTTCTAGTCCATCTCCCGGGCGTGCCGGAGGTGTGCCTCTTGATGATAATTACTTTGTGATGGGATTTAGCTTAGACATACTTGCAAAAATCAATCAGTTTCAATAAATTGGGAAATTGCTGCTAAAATTTTTGTCTGTTTTTTTTTTTTTTTTTTAAATACTTATTAATTTTTTTCTCCTTGTCGTGCACGTAGGGATGGGTTGACCTCACGGTACCACCCAGCTGCACCCCTGCGATGCTGCAGGGCCGTGTCCCACCCCACACTCCTGGTGCTGGGACGGGGGTGGCTGCGGGGTCCCCACTCCCTAAACCCCCCCAGGAGCCCGGCTCACCCCCAGGCTGGGGGTGACACTGCCTTTGCCTTTCCCTTTCCTGTGCCCACCCCAAACAGGTGCCTGTAGCTCATCCTCCTCCACC